ATTTTATTACTTTTGTTTGTTTTTGAGACAGAGTCTCATTCTGTTGCCCAGGATGGAATGCAGTGGTGCGATCTCGGCTCACTGCAACCTCCGTCTCCCGAATTCAAGCAATTCTCTGGCCTCAGCCTCTTGAGTAGCTGGGATTACAGATGCCTACCACCACTCTAGGCTAATTTTTGTATTTTTAGTAAAGACAGGGTTTCATCATTTTGGCCAGGCTGATCTCACACTCTTGACCTCAGGTGATGTACCTGCTTTGGCCTCCCAAAGTGCTGGGATTACAAGCTTGAGCCACCCTACTACTTATTTATTTATGTTTTTTTTTTAGAAACAGGGTCTCTCACCGGGCGCGGTGGGTCAAGCCTGTAATCCCAGCACTTTGGGAGGCCGAGGCAGGTGGATCACGAGGTCAAGAGATGGAAACCATCCTGGTCAACATGGTGAAACCCCGTCTCTACTAAAAATACAAAAAACTAGCTGGGCGTGGTGGCACGTCCCTGTAATCCCAACTACTCAGGAGGCTGAGGCAGGAGAATTGCCTGAACCCAGGAGGCGGAGGTTGCGGTGAGCCGAGATCGTGCCATTGCACTCCAGCCTGGGTAACAGGAGCAAAACTCCGTCTCAAAAAAAAAAAAAAAAAAAAAAGAAAAGAAAAAAAAGAAACAGGGTCTCTCTCTGTTGCCCAGGCTGGAGTGTAGTGGCAGATCACAGTTTATTGCAGCCTTGAACTCCTGGGCTCAAGTAATCCCTCTGTCTCAGCATCCCCAGTACCTAGGACTATAGGCATACACAACCACACTTAGCTAATTTTTTTAATTTTAATTTTTTTTAGAGACAGAGTCTTTCTCTGTTACTGGTATGGTATTGGAACTCCTGGCCTCAAGCTATCCTCTTGCCTCGGCCTCCTGAGTAGCTGGGATTATAGACATGAGCCACTTTGGGAAATCAAAGTGGGAGGATTGCTTGAGACCACGAGTTCAAGACCAACCTGGGTAACAACAATGTCATTTCTGGGTATTCACCTAGAAGATTTGAAATCAGTACATTGAAGAGATGTCTGCATTCCCATGTTTATTGCAGCACTATTCACAGTAGCCAAGTTATGGAATCAACCTGTGTTCATCAACAGATTAATGAATAAAGAAATATGCTGTATATACACAATGGAGTGCTATTCAACTTTATTTATTTATTTATTTTATAGATGGGGTTTCACCATGTTGGTCGGGCTGGTCGTGAACTCCCAACCTCAGGTGATCCACCCGCCTTGGCCTCAAAAGTGCTTGCATTACAGGCATGAGCCACCATGCCCGGCCTCAACTTTATTTTTTTGAGACGGGGTCTCACTCTGTCACCCATGCTGGAATGCAGTGATGCAATCATGGCTCACTGCAGCCCTTGAACTCCTTGGCTCAAGTGATCCTCCATTCTCAGCCTCCCAAGTAGCTGGGACCACAGGCGTGCACTACCATGCCCGGCTAATTTTTTTTATTTTTTGTAGAGATGGAGTCTCACTGTGTTGCCTGGACTGGTCTTGAACTCCTGGGCTCAAGTGATCCTCCCACCTTAGCTTCCCAAAGTGCTGAGATTACAGGTTGGGAGCCACCTCACTCAGCCTCAGCTTTAAAAAAAAAGAAAAATCTGAGCCAGGCGTGGTGTCACACACCTTAATCCCAGGTACTCTGGAGGCTGAGTCAGGAGAATCACTTGAACCCAGGAGGTAGAGGTTGCAGTGAGCTGAGATTGCACCACTGCACTTCAGCTTCGGCGACAGGGCAAGACTCTGTCTCCAAAAAAAGAAAAGAAAAGAAAAAAGAAGGAAATTCTGTCATTTGTGACAACATGGATGGAACTGGAGAACATAATATTAAGTGAAAGTGAAATAAGCCAAGCACAGAAAGACAAATACTATAGGTTTTCACTTATACTTAGAATCTGAAACAATCAACTTGTGGTAGCAGAAAAGAGAATGTTGGTTACAGAATCAGGGGGTCACTGGCTGGGTGTGGTGGCTCACACCGGTAAACCCAGCACTTTGGGAGGCCAAGGCTGGCAGGTCATGAGGCCAGGAGTTCAAGATCAGCCTGGCCAACATAGTGAAACCCCGTCTCTACTAAAAATAAATTAGTCGGGCATGGTGGCATGTGCCTGTTGTCCCAGTTACCCAGGAGGCTGAGGCAGGAGAATAGCTTGAACCCAGGAGGTGGAGGTTTCAGTGAGCTGAGATGGTGCCACTGCACTCCAGCCTGGAGCCTGGCAACAGAGCAAGACTCTGTCTCAAAAAAAAAAAAAAAAAAAAAAAAGGACAAAAATTAGCCAGGCATGGTGGTGCACAACTATAGTCCTACCTACTGGGGAGGCTGAGGCAGGAGAATTGCTTAAACCTGGGAGACAGAGGTTGCAGTGAGCCAAGATAGCACCGCTGCACTCCAGGCCGAGTGACAGAGCAAGACTTTGTCTCAAAAAAAGAAAAAAAAAAAAAAGGCCGGGCGCGGTGGCTCAAGCCTGTAATCCCAGCACTTTGGGAGGCCGAGGCGGGTGGATCACAAGGTCAAGAGATCGAGACCATCCTGGTCAACATAGTGAAACCCCGTCTCTACTAAAAATACAAAAAATTAGCTGGGCATGGTTGTGCGTGCCTGTAATCCCAGCTACTCAGGAGGCTGAGACAGGAGAATTGCCTGAACCCAGGAGGCGGAGGTTGCGGTGAGCCGAGATCGCGCCATTGCACTCCAGCCTGGGTAACAAGAGCAAAACTCCAGCTCAAAAAAAAAAAAAAAAAAGAAGAAGAAAAAAAGAAAAAAAAAGAAACCACTGAGCGATGCCTTTATTTATTTATTCACTGCATTTGGCTGCTGTGTTTTCAATCTCAGTTGCAATTCCCACACTGAGGCTGTCCCACCCTTCCTGTGTCCCTTGAGCTGAGCAGGCACTTCCTGTCCTATTGGAAATGAAAGTTAGAGATTGGGGGTAGGGTATATGCATTTAATCTGCAGAATGCTAATACTATCTGTTCCATTATCATAGCAAAATGTGACAGGGAAAGTAGAATAGACACCTGAACTTCATTTGAGGGAGGGTTTGGGCTTCATGTTTGTTGTGGCAAAACAGACAGGGTTAATTTATATCTCAAGAGAATACTGAGGATGGCAGCAAAATGGCCTTATAAAGGGATTTGAAGGCTTTCATTTTACATCCCTATTCCACTTGGATTGGTAGGGGTTACTGGATATCACTCTTAAGCTTTTGGTTTCTTTTCTTGTTAAGGTTACTCCTACAAGGACATTCCTTGGAAACTATTAGAGGTAAGTGTTGAAACTCTGTTAGGTTCTTGACTCTACATTTATATTCCTTCCTAAGAATTTTGTGTTTTTAATTCTGTTTGAACTGTATGCTTTTTAAAAAGTGTTTGTTTTGTTTTGTTTTGTTTTGTTTTTAACAGCTCGGAGACAACTCGAAGCAGACATCCCAACTCTGTGGACTTTAGTTTAGACATAAATTCCAGGTTTGGTGAGTTATCGTAATTGTTTCAGTTTCATGGATCTTAAAGATGAAGAAATCGTAAAGTGCTAAATAAGGTAGCCTCCAATTGTTAAAGAAATGACTAGGCACCAAGTTTCATGATATAGTTCTGTTTGATAATTGCTTCTTAAGTATGAACTCATTCCTTGGAGAATCTGAAATAGGAGTGAGGGTCCTCAGCCCAGCCCATTGGTGTGATACAAGAGAAACAGATCTAAGGATCTGAAACTAGTTATACCCATACTTTGTTTTGCTTATCTCTGCTCTTTGGTGTGGTCCTCTGTTTGTTCCATTGAACATTAAGATCACTGCAGCCGGGCACGGTGGCTCACGCCGGTAATCCTAGCACTTTGGGAGGCCGAGGTGGGTGGATCACCTGAGGTCAGGAGTTCAAGACCAGCCTGGCCATCATGGTGAAACCCCATCTTAAAAAGTAAATAAATAAATCACTGCAAATGGGCCAAGCGTGCAGGCTCATGCCTGTAATCCCAGCACTTTGGGAGGCCAAGGTGGGCGGGTCACTTGAGGTCAGGAGTTCAAGACCAGCCTTGCCAACATAGGGAAACCCCATCTCTACTAAAAAATACAAAAATCAGCCCGGTGTGGTGGCAGGCGCCTGTAATCCCATCTACTTGGGAGGCTGAGGCAGGAGAATTGTGGAAGGCAGAGGTTGTGGTGAGCCGGATCTGGGATTGTGCTACAGCACTCCAGCCTGGGTGACAGAGTGAGACTCTATCTCAAAAAAAGAAGAAGGCCGGGCGCAGTGGCTCAAGCCTGTAATCCCAGCACTTTGGGAGGCCGAGGCGGGTGGATCACAAGGTCGAGAGATCGAGACCAACCTGGTCAACATGGTGAAACCCCGTCTCTACTAAAAATACAAAAAATTAGCTGGGCATGGTGGCAGGTGCCTATAATCCCAGCTACTCAGGAGGCTGAGGCAGGAGAATTGCTTGAACCCAGGAGGCAGAGGTTGCGGTGAGCCGAGATCGCGCCATTGCACTCCAGCCTGGGTAACAAGAAAGAAACTCCGTCTCAAAAAAAAAAAAAAAAAAAAAAAAAAAAGAAGAAGAAGAAAAAAAAAATCACTGTAAAAATGTAAAGTGGGAGAAGTCCTGAGCTCATCTCACACAGTCTCTAACTCTGTTTTTTGGGGTTTTTTTTGCATGTTCTCCAAGGCAATGTCTTAGAAGCTCCTTTAAAATCAAGCTTAAAATCTTTCTTTTTCTTTTTTGAGACGGAGTCTCACTCTGTTGCCAGTCTGGAGTGCCGTGGTGCAATCTCGGCTCATTGCAACCTCCGCCTCCTGGCTTCAAGTGACTCTCCTGCCTCAGTCTCCCGAGTAGCTAGGACTACAGGCACATGACACTATACCCCGCTAATTTTTGTATTATTAGTACAGATGAGTTTTCACCATGTTGGCCAGGATGGTCCCGATTTCTAGACCTCGTGATTCGCCCGCCTGGGGCCTCCCAAAGTGTTGGGATTACAAGCGTGAGCCGTGGCACCTGGCCTAAAATCAAGCTTGAAATCTTACAGCTGAGATCGAAGGATGGGAAAAAAACAAAAAAACAAAAAACAAAACCCATTGTCTTTAAATGAGAATCAGAAGTTGTTCTAGAGGAAAGGATATAAATTTGAAAGGGGTTAGACCTAAGAACTCTTCTTTCTAGCTTTAACTCCTGAGACTATAAAAAACAAACAAAAATAACATCTTGGGCATTAGGACCCTGTGGAAGTGCCTCTGCCTCATTCAGACTCTGTTAACTTCTCTGGTGACGTAAAGGAGCAGCCCGAGCTCATTCTCTGCCCACGGCCCCCCTTCATCTCTCTCCCTCCGGCTTCTTTTCTCCCCCTTTCTGCTCCCCCTCCCTTCTCCCTCTCCCTCCCTTTTCTCCTTCCTCCCTCTCCCCCTGTCCCTCGCTCTCCACCTCCCTCCCCCTCTTTCTTACTCCCTCCTTTTCTCTCTCTCTCTCTCTCTGTCTTACTCACTCAGCTCCCTAACATTAAAGAGAAAATGCTGCTATCCGTGACTTCCAGGCCTGGGATTTCGACTTTGGGCTACAGTAGAAACAACAAGAAGGTAGGGAAAAGCGCTTTTTTGGTATCTAGCTACTTCCTTTTCTGGGGATCTGGCAATGCCCTTGGTTTTAACATTCTTTTTAAAGAGGGGAAGCAGATTCCTCTCTCAAGGTTTCTAATTCCTCACGGCGCTTCTCCCTTTTCCACTACTTCTTTCTGCATCTTTTCTCACCTGGTTCTGGAGTTCAAGGAACTTACCGTCTCTGTGAGGCCTGAAAAGACAGGGGAATTAAAAACAAATCAAGCTTGTAAGTTTGTATCCTTATGAAATGAAGTTAGTTTGACTTCCTGCTAACCTATCAATCTTCACAAGGATAATATGACATCTCAGACCCTGTCCTCTAGCCCACCCACCACAAGATTATTTTATTTTTTGATTAACTGTTTCCATTCTCTCCCCAACCTTCCCTCTTACCCATATCACCGGTAGTATTAGATAGCTGAAATCATAGAAAGTCAGTGAAACCACAACAGTTTATCGAGAGCTGGATATACTCTTCTAGACTACAGATCCTACCTACCCAGCCTGTAGAGGAGTCTTGAGAGACGACGCAGTTTGGGATTAAGGCACAGTGTGCTATGATACTTGGGTCTTGCTTTTGAGCTGATACTTGGAGCTCTGCAGATAGCCAGACTTTGCAGTGATCCTAGGAGTCTTTATGATTAACCCATGGCTGCCAGAGTTGTGCTGTCCCTTGGGCACATGGGCAGTCTGGGGAGAGATGGACAATCTTGTCCATACTTGACAAGGAATATCTTTGGCTGTTTCTGGCATTTCAGGGCACACAGTATATTGATTAGGGGGAATTTCACGCATTAGCAGGAAGAAGACTCTCTTCGTGTTGTAGTTGTTCTTTGAAGAAAAAATGTGACATGGACATTTAGGGAAGCTTTTGCTCATCTAATGGAATGTTGGAGGGTGAGGAACAATTCCTGCTGCTTTCTCATGTACCTAAAGAGTGTCTGATCAGTGCAGTGGGTAAATGTTTAGATCCAAAACAGTGTTGGTTTATGGGCTTAGTCTATGTGGTACTCATTCTGTTTATATCCTGAAGAAATATGGGTAGAGGGGAGAGGAAATGGGGAGCTATGGGTTAGAGGATACAAAGCAGTAGATACGTAGGATGAACAAATCCTGAGATCCAATGTTCAACATAAGGATTATAGGTAACAAAACTGTACTGTATATGGGATTCATGCTAAATGAGCAGATTTTAGCTCCTCTTGCCACAAAAAGAAACAAAAGGGATGACTATGTGGGATGATTAATTTACTTCACTCTAGTAACCTTTCTGCTATCAATATGATCCCATACTTGCATACCTGAAGTGTACCCAAGATCACGAGGTTGAGAAAAAAAAATGTACACAATAAAATTTACTTTAAAAAAGAAATGAGGTGGCTCCGTTGGCTTAATCGGTTAGCATGTTGTACTTATAAAAAATAAATGAGGCTGGCCACGGTGGCTTGTGCCTATAATCCCAGAACTTAGGAGGCCAAGGCGGGTGGATCACTTGAGTCGGGAGTTTGAGACCAGCTTGGTCAACATGGTGAACCCCCAGATTAGCCAGGACTGGTGGCACGCGACTGTAATTCCAGCTACTTGCCAGCCTGAAGCAGGAGAATCACTTGAACCTGGTGAGGCAGTGAAGGTTGCAGTGAGCCAGGATCTCACCACTGCACTCCAGTCTGGGTGACAGAGCAAGACACCATCTGAAAAAAAAAGAAAAGAAATATGAGTTCATACATATTTGTTGGTTATAAATATATATTTATGTGTACATGTACTGATACCCCTTTATCAAAAATACATATAGATAATACATTATATATTATATATATTTGAAAGGGAAATATTTCATGTGTCTTTATTCTCTTCAAACTTTGTAGAGTACTATGTGAAAATTTCCTTCCTGATTTTTTTCCCTCCTAGTCTCTCCAGTTACCCAGAACTCATGAAAATAAAATGAATTCCCACAATGAATTGCTTCCCTATTAGAGGTTTCATGTATTTGAAGATATGTAAAAATCTCTTTTCGCTCTCTACTTTCTCTCCCACCTTGGAGTAGAGGAAAAATTTAATTGGCTTCTAAATCTAGGATAGTGTAGGGGACAAGAGGTATGGTTGTGAATTTGGGTTGAAATCTCTTATCTCTTCCTGATAACTGTAAGGTTTGGCAATTCAGGAATGTTGGGATTGGTGAGGGAGGTTGGGTAGATACATAATCATTAATTCCTAATGTATTTGTCAATTCTTTGGGTTCTTATAAGTCAATCTTATGATCACATCCAAGGATGCTGCATATGTGCCTCACTTTCTGGCTATGTATATGATTCCTTTTGTGTCTATATAAGTTTGTGAATGCAACTTTTCATATTTTTATTATTATTATTATTTTATTTTATTTATTTATTTATTTATTTTGAGACAGAGTTTCGCTCTTGTTACCCAGGCTGGAGTGCAATGGCGCGATCTCAGCTCACTGCAACCTCCGCCTCCTGGGTTCAAGCAATTCTCCTGCCTCAGCCTCCTGAGTAGCTGGGATTACAGGCACGTGCCACCATGCCCAGCTAATTTTTTGTATCTTTAGTAGAGACGGGGTTTCACCATGTTGACCAGGATGGTCTCGATCTCTCGACCTTGTGATCCACCCGCCTTGGCTTCCCAAAGTGCTGGGATTACAGGCTTGAGCCACCATGCCCGGCATATTTTTATTATTTTTACTTTTCTTTTTTTGAGATGAAGTCTCGCTCTGTCACCGAGGCTGGAGTGTAGCAGCGTGATCTCAGCTCACCTCAGCCTCTGCCTCCTGGGTTCAAGCGATTCTTCTGCCTCAGCCTACCAAGTAGCTGGACTACAGGAGTGTGCCGCCACACCCAGTCAATTTGTTTGTATTTTTAGTAGAGACGGGATTTTACCATGTTGGCCAGGCTGGTCTCAAACTCCTGACCTCAAGTGATCCACCTGCCTTGGACTCCCAAAGTTTTGGGATTACGCTTTGAGTTGCCAAGCACTGCCCATATTTTAATTAATTAATTTATTTAAGATGGAGGTTCACTCTGTCGTACCCAGGCTGGAGTTCAGGGGCTCGATCTTGGCTCACTGCAACCTCCGCCTCCTGGGTTCCAGTGATTCTCCTGCCTCAGCTTCCCAAATAGCTGGGATTACAGGCGCCCTCCACCACGCCCAGCTCATTTTTTGTATTTTTTTTTTTTTTTTTTGAGACGGAGTTTCGCTCTTGTTACCCAGGCTGGAGTGCAATGGCATGATCTCGGCTCACTGCAACCTCCGCTTCCTGGGTTCAGGCAATTCTCCTGCCTCAGACTCCTGAGTAGCTGGGATTACAGGCACGCGCCACCATGCCCAGCTAATTTTTTGTATTTTAGTAAAGACGGAGTTTCACCATGTTGACCAGGATGGTCTCGATCTCTTGACCTCGTGATCCACCCGCCTCGGCCTCCCAAAGTGCTGGGATTACAGGCTTGAGCCACCGCGCCCGGCCCTCATTTTTTGTATTTTTAATAGAGACTGGGTTTCACCGTGTTGGTCAGGCTGGTCTTGAGCTCCTGACCTCAGGTGATCAGATCACCTTGGCCTCCCAAAGTGCTGAATTACAGGCATGAGCCACCGTGCTCGGCCCCATATTTTTATTTTTATTTTACTTAATTTTTTCCCCTCAACACTAGATGACCAGGGAGGGTGTTTTTAAACTACAGCATTATTACGTTGCTCTTTGTCTTGGTATTAACAAGTAGGGCTTACTGTGTTTGTTTCTCTGTTCTGGAAAGTGTTTTAGATGCATTTGCTTAGGTAATTTGTATTTTCCATACCCAATTAATTTTGTTTATTTATTTAGTTTGAGACAGAGTATCACCCTGTCACCCAGGCTGGAGTGCAGTGTTATGATCCTGGCTCCCTGCAACCTTGGTTTCCTGGGTTCAAGTTATTCTCCTGCCTTAACCTCCCAAGTAGCTGGGACTACAGGTGTGTGCCACCATGCCCTGCTAATTTTTGTAATTTTAGTAGAGACAGGGTTTTGCCATGTTGGCAGCTGGTCTCAAACTCTTGGCCTCAAGTGATCCACCTGCCTCAGGTTCCCAAAGTGCTAGGATTACAGGCATGAGCCACTGTCCGGCCTATTTGTGAATTTTTTGAGACAGGGTCTTACTCTGTAGTCCAGGCTGGAGGGCAGTGCCACAATGTCAGCTCACCACAACCTCCACCCCCTGGTCTCAAGCGAGCCTCCCACCTCAGCCAACGTTTTTTTTTTTTTTTTTTTTTTTTTTTTTTTTTTTTTGAGATGGTGTCTTACTCTGTCACCAGACTGGAGTGCAGTGGCACAATCTTGGCTCACTGCAACCTCCGCCTCCTGGGTTCAAGCGATTCTTCTGCCTCAGCCTCCCGAGCAGCTGTGACCACAGGCACGTGCCACTACGCCTGGCTAATTTTTTTGTATTTTTAGTAGAGACGGGGTTTCACCGTGTTGGCCAGGATGGTCTTGATCTCTTGACCTGGTGATCTACCCGCCTCAGCCATCCAAAGTGCTGGGATTACAGGCGTGAGCCACCGCACCCGGCCCTCACCTAACTTTTTTACGTAACTTTTTTTTTCCCCCTGAGATGGAGTCTCGCTCTGTCACCAGCTGGAGTGCAGTGATGCAATCTCGACTCACTGAAACGTCCACCTCCTGGGTTCAAGTGATTCTCCTGCCTTAGCCTCCTGAGTAGCTAGTATTATAGATGCCCACCACCACGCCTAGCTGACTTTTTATATTTTTGGTAGAGATGGGGTTTCACTATGTTGGCCAGGCTGGTCTGGAACTCCTGACCTCCAGTGATCTGCCCGCCGAGGTCTCCCAAAGTGCTGGGATTACAGGCATGAGCCACCGTGTCCGACCTATATATAACTTTTATATAGAAGTTATTTTTTTTACTGAAACTAATAAAAGTTATTGTAAAAATTTAACTTTGAAGCCTGTAATCCCAGCACTTTGGGAGGCC